GTTTACGAGCACAACAAAACCGCGAGGGGCAGCGACTGCAGCAGCTGCACCTGTCCACGCACGGCGCAGCTCTGACCAGCCCGGGATTGAAGAGTCCACATGTCAACCCCTTCAGATATTTATCTGTATGAGCATCAAAAATCTGTCATTTGCGCAAAACATCAGTATTAATCACATGCGGGTGGGGTGGGTGCAAGTGGACCGCAGGTGGGGAGGAGGAGGAGGGCATCTTTTAAAGACGTGTCTATGTTTTAATTAAAACTTTTATTTCTAAAATCACAGAGTTCTTTTTTTTAAATCACAGAGTTCTCTGAGTCAGCTTCAGGTGCTTGTAGTTATAATCATAAATATCTGCTAAATTTAACCAGGTTTTAAATGCCTTTAAATTACACAATCATTTTACTGGCGAAACTTGTCAGTTTGGTTAAAAAAACCTGTAAAAATAAATTATTCTTTTCTGTGCAGAGAACTTCCTCTGCTATAATTTATTAAAATAAATATATCAAAACTCCTCAGTTGAAAACACTAAAATGATAGAAAAGATGTTTAAAAACCTCTTTCCTCAGAAAGTCTTCAGTCCTAAGAACACTAAACTGTAACTTTAATAAGGTCATGTAGTTTACTCCTATTTAAAAGAAAATGTTTGACCTGTAAGCAGAAAGCTTATGCATGCTGGATGTTGATTTTTGGTGTCTATTTCAAAGAAGAGGATGAGGAGGAAGTTCTCCTCAAGCAGCTCCTGAAACTGGCAACATGGCTGACTGAGAACATTTGTACATAGTAAACTTTGTTTACAGAACAATATAGCCTACTTGTTAAATTACATTTTTATTGAGAATTTTTTGTACAACCACAGTTAAAAAAAATTCTAGGGGAAACGCTGGACTGTTCTGTGAAGTTCAGTGTTTAGGAAGTTCACTTAACATGTTTAATGTTTCATGAAACAAGAAAAATCTAGAAATGGTGAAAAGGTAAAGCTTTTAAATAAATCTTACTTTGTTTATTATAAAACAGATTGATTTATTGCTTCTGTGTTTGTTAAAAAATACTTGAGAAGATGTTAAAAATAATCGCAAATTAAATCGCAATTGCAGTTTATAGATAAAAAATTGCAATTAGATTATTTTCCAAAATCGTTCAGCCCTAGTAAGAAGTGCTGGAAAATGTTTGTTTTAAGGCAACAAAATCCATTTCCAATCCAGTTTAAAGGGATAACAGAATATGTTTCGATGTTCTTACCTGATCTAATGAGGTGAGGTCAATGCCATCTCCCTGAATGATCCGCAGATACGATGGTAACACTTTGTAGCCCAGTGAGTTCAAAGAACAACCAAAACTCTTTTCCAAAATCTTGAGGACCTTTAAGCACAACAACAGTTACTTAGATCCAGCAAATAGGGAAGATTTCAGCAAGATCCCATCAAACAACACTGCTTACACACGACAACGTGGCTCAACTCAAAGAGTCCGTGTGATAAACATTCCTGCCTGCAGTCCAGACCAGTCCTCTCATAATAAACTAAAACATACAACAACGAAAACTGTGGAGCAGCTCATTTTCTTTTTGGTCACATTTCCAGCATGTCATTGGAACAGGTAACATTTTTGGTTTTTCTAAACCAAAGTATTAAAGTAATAAATTCTAATCCTAACATACCTGGATTAGAGTTTCTGCTGGGTCTCCGGAGTCGGGTCGTATCACGAGACAGGAGTCCTGGCTACGCTCCATCACTCGCTCCTTCAGCTTGTCTCCCCAGATGTGTTTACARGCGTTAAAAATGTCGTAACTGTCACTGACCACAGACACCGGACCTGACGGGAAGCAGTCCAGTATCTGCTCAAAAGCATCCTTCTCTCTGTTCTTGCCCCAGGAGATGATAGTGCTGGTCAGAGGAAGGGCAGAAAAGCAGTTGTAGGGGTCACCTCGAGTAAAATAATCAGGAAAACTGTCTTGTGACCTCAGGCCTCTGATGGGCCCTTTAAAGAGCCAGAACTCCGCTCCGGTTGAAGCTGAATGTGGGCCACAACAGGTCGCCTTAACCATCAAAGGGACATTCTCTTTAACTTAATCAGATAATAAACAGAATAATCTTTTTATTTGATTTATTTTTCGCTTAACTAAGAGTTATTACATTTTGATAATCATGAAACAATGTTGATCAAACAGATCTCTTTTCTCCCTCAATGTGATTTCAGCTTATATTATAGATTTTTCTGTGAAAATATCTTACTTAACTAATCATTACGGTTTAAGTTTTGATAAAACACCAGTGTTTATCTGTCTGAATCATATTGCAAATGCTTTTGAATTTGAAGTAAATCATTCTTTCAGTCATTATTATGACCCCCGCGCGCGAAGCGTAAGCGGGAGTCATATTATTTTCGTACTGTTATTTTTTTTTCAGTGATTTTTGGTCAACCATAGCACAAAAACAGCTGCACCAATCAACGTGAAATTTGGCAGGACTGTAGAAGAGTCTGACCTACACTGCATCAGCCAACGGTTTTACGATAGACCCTATATTTGAGGAGGGGGCTCCTTTGAAAATGGGGGTGTCTGGACATGCAAAAATGCTTATAACTCAGAAACTGTTCAATAAAGAAGCTTCAGATTTCTTTTGTTGTTTAGATCTGATGAAGCACTATCCATCAGGCCCAACTATCAGTGCCCCCCAACCCCCAAGACCCCCAATTTATCTGAAAAAGGGGTATCTGGGCATACATAATAGGTTATAGCTCAAAAACTATTAAACATAGGAGCTTCAGATTTCTTTTGTTGTTTAGCTCCAATGAAGCTCGATCCATCAGGCCCACCAATCAGTGCCCCCATCCCCCGGACCCCCAATTTATCTGAAAAAGGGGTATCTGGACATACAGAAATGGTTATAGCTCAAAAACTATTAAACATTGGAGCTTCAGATTTTCTTTGGTTGTTTAGCTCTGATCTATCTATCCATCTATCTCTATCCATCAG